AATAGGATCATGTTGGTGTTGAGGTGCCCTTGAAGTTAAAAGAACTCTAGTCACTAACCTTGACGATATAGATTTTTCATGAAAATACCAATTAATATATCTCGAGATAAATCTAATACAAACTAATTGTTCCAAAAAAACTTCACGGATTTGCCAATCAATATTAGCACACCTCAAACATAGGCATAATATCATATTATTTTCACTTGCATTATCAAATACAAAATTAAGAAAATTTCTCACTCCATCTCGATACTCTTGACTTAATCTTGACTTTTGCATCAAACTCTTATCCATTTTATACTTGCTACATTATCAAACTAAAATTATATAATTCATTATATGAAAACAAACTAAATATTACACTTAAATTAATAACAAACTTAGATCTCCTAACAAGTTACCTGAATTAACCAAAGGTGATTATTTGTTGAAAAGTGAAATACCTTCACAAATTCAAAACACTAGTGGCCAAAGACATTATTGATAGAAATTGAGCAATTGATGATGAGTAAACCTTAATCTCAAACTAAAAATAAACAAAAAAATAAACATATTAGTATTTTTACAAATTAATATACAAAATGAGAAAAAATTGAAAACAAATAGTCAAACAAAAGCAAAAAAAAAAAACCATTCAACAAAAAAGCATTTGACAAATAGCTGTTTAAAACACCTCTATCTTTACCATCCTTAACAATAAGGTGAAATGAACCACCTTAACAATATCTTTGAGCCATAGTTGAATTTTGTTTGACTCTTTGAATTGACGGAAAGAGATAATATTTAAATTATTCTTTTTAAGCTAACTAAATTATTCTTTTTGAACATATAATGTTAAAAGCATTGTAAATAAAAAATAAGTTGGCTCATATATTATGTTATATATCTGCAATAAATCACTTGCAACAAATGATCCTAGTGATCCTTATTAACTCACTTGCACTTAGAAATTTCTAGGTCCTTATAACATAGGTGGAAATGTTTATTCATTCTAACTGTAAACAGCCAGTAATCCTAATAATCAAATGGGTTTGGCTGTGAGTGCCTTGGGTCTCATATCAAGTAATTCATGAAGATCATAAAGGAAAACATTATTTCTAGAGGCATCCAACATCGAAGCATCATTATGTTTCGGCAAGATAGGTGTCCTACAAACGGGTTACTAGATGGAAAGGAATCTGTTAAACAATAAATAAATAAATAAATCTAATAGAGCCATAAGAAAATTTTAATTTAGGGCCAGTTTGTGAATCAAACAAAAATTTGAAATACAGAATAATTAAGCAAATGCATGTGAACAATGGGATTAAACCTTACCTCATGTATCAGTAGGTAGTAACCTAAATGGAAGCAGCGACACCAAGGGCATACCCCCCAATTGCTACCCCAACAACCTCTTTTCCAAACTCCGTCGCTACTCCAATCCCCATAATACCCAAATCAAAACTGGCACTTGTTTCAAAATTGCCTCGTCGGCATTTCCCATGACAGTATCGACGAATAACACCACTGCCTATTCCCTCAACTGGGTCGAGCTGAGGAATAGCTGTTCTTCATAGTTCTGGGGATTATGTTGATGGGGAGTTATGACTCGAAAGGCTGAGTTGATTTGGGTGCGAAAGGAAGGGTCAGGGACCCAACGGAGAATGAAGGGGTGGGGTGGAGGGAAGTGAGGGTTTGGTGATGGTGGGTGGCGGCTGGTAAGAGCTGGTAAGAGAGGATTCCAAGGAAGGTTTGTTCAGTTAGAAAGAGGTAGTTATTGTAAGCTGAGCCGTATGCTGATTATGGAGAGGAAATTCATGAAAAACAAGAAGACCAATGCCGTAAATGGAGAGAAAATCCATCAAAAAATAAAAGGAAATAGGCTGAAAATGAAAGAAATCAATTGAAAAAATGTAGAACATCGCAGGAGAAACAAAGGAAAATGGTAGAAAAAAGAGGTTTCGGAATTTGGGGGAATTTTTAGTGGCATTTTCTTTTAAAAAATGCCACTAAATACCTTAGTTAGCGGCGTTTTCTTTGAAAAACACTACTAAAATACACTTAAAACGAGGAATTTTATGTTACTGAAGATAATTTAGCGGCCTTTACTACAAAAACGCTGCTAAATTTACAAACATACTAAAAATTAGTGGCGTTCGTTAAAAATAAAAATTTTTGTGACCTCACTTTCCTTTTTAAAAAATTATATTTTTATATTTAATAAAATTTTATAATTATATAGTGGCGTTTTATAACAAAACGCCACAAATGAAGGCTTTTTAGTGGCTTTTTTAACGTAAATGTCGCTATATAGATAATTAGCGACGTTTTTTATTTTACCATACCACGCTTACCTTTTTAAAAAATAATATTTTTATATTTAATAAATTTTTATAATTATATAACAAAATGCCATAAAATGAAGGCTTTTAATTGCCTTTTTTAACATAAACGCCGCTATATATATAATTAGCGGCGTGTTTTACAAAAATGCATCTAGATTTAAAAAAACAAAGGATTTTGTGGCATTTACTCATAAATGCCATAAAAAAACTATCACAAAATATTCTTTTTCTTGTTGTTACTTTTTATCACTTTTAAGATTATGATAATTTTTTTCTTAAAGATGTTATGATACTTCTAACTATTTTATGCAAAAAAATAAATAAATTTTATGATTATTCTTATCTTTTTACATTAACACTTATTTTTTAGTATAAAATTATTTTTTATTTATAATACTAATTTTTTACATTACCAATTTAATTATTACATTTGAATAAGATTTTTTTACACTTGTTCTTACTTTTCGATGTTTTATTAAAGTATAACAATACTTGTAACCATTTTATGTCAAATAATACTAATTTTACAATTGTTTTTACTTTTTTTTACATTAACTTTTATTTTTTTGTTTAAATTTATTTTTTTATATGTAATAATATTTTTTTTACATTACCAACTTAATTAATGTTGTTACAATAATATCTTTTATACATATTGTTACTTTTCATTACGTTTATAACTATCATAACTTTTTATTAAGGTGTTAAACACTTCTAACTTATTTTACATTAAATGATACCAATTTTACGATTATTCACACATTACTATGATAACACTTATTTATTGGTTTAGAATTATTTCTTAAATTTAGGGTAATTATTTTTTTACATTATTAACTTAATTATTTATGTTATAATGATATATTTTACGCTTGTTCTTATTTTCATTACATTTAAAATTATCACAACTCTCTTGTAAGATATTATGATACTTTTAATATTTTTTTATGTTAAATGATATCAATTTTACGATAATTCTCATATTTTTACGTTAACCTATTTTCAATTAAATTTTTTTAAATATTATCTTATCTTGTTCTCTTTTTTAAGAATTTTAAACAGATTGTATTTATTTGTAAAATTTTTTATATTATTTAATAAATAATATTTAATGTTAATTAATTAAAATTAAATTAACAAATTAACAGATAATTAATTATTTTTATAATAAAAAATTAATAATTTATATTAATTCTTCATATTTAATGATTATTATTCAATAATCTTATAATAAGGGCAAAATAAATTTGCTGTGGAAGTCCCGGTGAAGGCCGCTAGTCACGAGAAGTTCAAATTAACCGAATAGAAGAACCGCATCACTGTGGGGCCCACATTCCCCATTGGATTAAAAATTAGAATATATATATATATATATAAAAAAAAAAAAAAAGCGGCCAGTTCAAAATTAGTCCCAGAATGTATCTCTTTTTTTTTTTTTTTTTTTTTTTTTTTTTATCAAAATAGTGTATCTAGGCTAAATTTATGTCTGTATCTAAACCGTAAATCACGTAAAAACATGTTATTAAAAAAAGTAGAATTTTATTGAAATTATTATGTCCATCAAGTTTCATAGTGTTTCAAAGTTTCTCACCAATCAAAAGAAATTAAAATAAAATTTAAATAATTGAAAAGTTATATATATATATATATATATATAATTCAAGCTTATCGGTTTTTGATCAAACCATTAAGGCGTAATCGATTGAATAATTCAGTAATATACAAGCTATTATTCTTATTATTTTGCTCAGAGCCGGAGACAGTCAAATTATTCTTATAATTTTGTTTCATGAGAAGTTACAATTTAAATTTAATGTCCATAAAAAAACAATTTTGGTCTTTTAAGGAAAGAAAATAAGAGAAAATAATGAACAGAAAAGAAAGGGAGATAACAAGATAGTAAAAAATATATATTTTGAACATAAAATTTTAAAAATTCCAAGATAGTCAACTAAATGTTGTTCTAAGTATTAAAAAAAAAAAAATTCTAATTTGGGTTCAAAAGTAAGGGGACTTGTTCTGCTATTTATATATAATGATGGAAGTTAGCAATGTTTACATTAATATGATTTTTTTATATTTAAATATTTGACTTAATGATAAATGTATAAATTAATAATAAATGAGTTCGAATCCTCTTAGATAATAAAAAAAAATCTCATTTTTTTTTCTTGCAAAGACCAATAAACTTCCAACCATTATAAAAGTATTGAAATAAGATTTGAAGCACTGTTAATTTCTAAGGAAATATTCAAAGGAAAAGTTGGTAAATTTCTCAATTTGGAAATCCCACTTGTCCACTATGATGGGGTTTTATTTTATTTTATTTTTGAGTGGAACAAAATTTTCATATATATGGAAAATAATGTCATCCAAGATACAATAATAAATGTGCAATAAAATTTTCAGATATGGAAAATAATCTCACCCAAGATACAATAATAAATAAATTTTCATATATATGGAAAATAATGTCACCCAAGATACATTATTAAATGTACCGTAAGGCATTACAGATTTGATTCCAAAAAATTACAAAAAAAAAATTGATATATTAAAATCATAACCAAATATTATATCTCATATAAGAAAGCAATAATTAAATTGAATATAAAAATTACAAAATTCCTTTTTTTTTTTTTTCCATTGTTATAGGAATTAGGCTAGAAGTATCATGCTGTGATGTCAAATTATTTATACAAATTTTATGGGGATTTGACAAAATAAAATTAAAATTCACAACTTCTAAAATTCCTGCATTTGAATTGAAGAAAGTAAAACAAACAAAATTGAAAATCTATTTCTCATAATGTTTAATCTTAAAACAAGATAAACTAAGTTGAATGTTTTATGATAAAAAAAAAAAAAAAAAAAGGAAATTCTTATCAATTAGCAGGTCCATTGCGCCCGCTGAAATTCCTAACGCCCATTGGCATTGCCATTGATGGACTCTTGAGAAAACTTGCGATTTTCGTAATCATTGCGTTTTTTCTCTTCGATATTCAGTTTTCGATTGCCAATTCTGATAAAGGAAGCTTGAATTGCACTTTGTGCAGAACCAGAAGACTCAAATTGGATAAAAGCAAACCATCTGTTCTGTTTATCAGTTCTAACTTGAACCCCATTACGTTTGATTGGTCCAAAACTCTTGAAAGCTTCATAGAGTTCTTCAGGCTTTGAATCCATGGCCAAGTTCCCAACAAAAATAGATGTTCCCTTAACATTCTCCACATTCGTGGTGTTTTTCTTTCCTTCCAAGCCATTTTTCCTGTCAAGATTGGACTCCTGGGGTGCTTTGCCAACAGATTTTTTCACTGGCGGCGCCTTAAAGGGAGCGTTGTTTTCATTCAGAGCATTCACCACCGATAGAAAACTCTTCTTAGGAACAACTTCTTCCGGAGCATCATTGGTTGATGCAGTATCATCAGGTGTTGAAGCTGAAAAAGCAGCTGGGACATCTTCGGTAGGAATAGTTTTTGTTTCTTGCTCATCAAAAAATCTCAGAATATCATTGGAGACAAAGTAACCATTGACTCCTTCCATCGGAGCAAGGAGGAAGGATTGATTGAATTTACTCATCTCGTCATTCTTTGTAGTGAAGCAACCAACGACCACAATAAACACTCCCCCGTTTGCGGTGAATTGAGAATCACAAGAAAAAATATCATATTCCTTACAATCCAAGGAAGAGAGGACCTGTTTCTTGATTTCGTCCATGGTTGTGAAGCTGGTCATGGCACCATCAGATCCCACCCGGCTTACCACGCTTGAATCCTGATAAAACTTGTAAAGATCTCCTGGAGAATCACGGAGCAGAAAATAGTACTGTTTGACGAAGGCGGCAGCCACTTCTTGTGGCGTGAAGGATGGCAATGGACATGCCTTTGCCTCAGCCATGAAAAAAGAAGCAGGGAAGAAAACAGAACGGAACGAGAAGCAAAGAAGAAAACAGGACGGAACGAAAACAGAAAGGAAAGCAGACGAAATCAAACAGAGATTTTAAATGGTATGGAAGACTAAAGAGAGGGTATTTATAGGGGAAAAAAAAACTGTGGGGTTTGTAAATCCTAAACCTGTTTGATGTAGAATTCCTATTTGCCAAGGAAACTTAATGGGAGGAAATTTTTGTATCAAAATTTCTGTATTTTAGTGTGGGTCCTTTGTTTATTATTTTTAACTTACCTGTTCAAGTATTTATTGCGGATATTTATTTTCTTTGGAGAGAATTAAAGTGTATACTTATTTATTACAACTCTTTGGAGGTTTGACCAGAATAACTTGTTGGATTTTGCCTCTTGAGAAAGAAACAAACTGATGCTAAATGATTTGAATTTTTTTTTTTTTTTGGCCAGTGATGCTAAACGATGGATAATTACCCAAAAGAAATTTCATTTGAAAAAAAGTAATTACGGCAAATTTCCAATTCAAAACTAAAAATCTTTTGATACTGTATTCTTGGCTTGAGATTTCTCTCTTCATCATATTCAACGTGACTGAATTCTATATAATTTAAAAGCAGTAGTTTAGATAATATGCAGGTTGAACATAGTTTTGAAGATTGCAAGTTCAGGAAGATTAAGTGGGTGATGTCTGAGTTAAAGGAAATAGAATTGAAAAATTAAGGATAAATTAGGAATTTAAAAAAAAAAATGGGTACCCATAGGTTTATTAAGGTTTTCAAGATTAATAATAATAAAAAAAAAGATACTGACATCAAATAAAAAATATATATATATATATATATATATATGATAAAGGAAATTATAGTAATATGATTTTTTAAAGCTTTTGGTTAGATATAACTAAGAAAACACACACAAGACTTTATAAGATAGCAACATGCTAGAATAAGAATGGCAAGGAACAGCAAAGTAGAATAGACAGCTAGGCAGGACTCTGTGCACTGAGGAGTGATTGCCAAATTTTATCAACACTTTAAGAACCGAAGCTGTCAACAAAAGTTTATTACTGTACTATGTTTCTCCACCAAGGAACAACATAAATACAAATGAAGAATCAAGGGCTGGAAAAAAAAGAACCTAAAGATACAAACTCTACTCAGTAGGAAATTAGTTTAATCCCGTATTGCTTCTACTTTTCTAGTACCTGATTGCTTTAGCAACCTCAAAGAAATGGGCAACATTTTCCTCAGGTGTACCTACTTTAATTCCATGACCTAGATTCAATATATGTTTCTGTCTACCAGCTTTTCTCACAGTATCATGTATCCGATCAGTGATGAACTTCTTCGAACCAAAAAGAACACCAGGATCAACATTTCCTTGGACAGCAATATCATGTCCAAGTCGCCTTCTACCTTCAGCCATGTCAACAGTCCAATCTAAGCTAACTACATCCACACCTGTTAAAGCTAACCTTTCTACCAAGCCCCCAGATCCACTTGCATAAAGGATTAGAGGAAGATCTGGATGAGTTTGTTTTACAGCATCTACAATTTGCTTCAAATAGTGGAGGCTGAACTCCTCAAAATCCACTGGACTGAGCTCTGTTGCCCAAGAGTCAAAAATTTGAACAGCCTGTGCTCCATTGTCAGCTTGGTACCGAATGTACTTTGCCATGGAGGTTGCAAATTTTTGAAGCAAAGAATGAAGTACCTGTAGAAGGAAAATGAGGTCAATAGGAATCCAGTTTATATCATTGTTCCAATGGAGGGTAGTTGACAAATGTTTTCAAAAGCAGAAGAAAAATAAGAAAAATGATAAGTAATCAATTTCTGGCAATTAACTTTGGAAGTAGCACACAACTTTTTATGTTGGTGGCTTAAAATTCGTTTCTTCAGTTATGGATGCTATTCAAGATGAAAACAAAGAAGACAAACTTCACTCCGTTTGGTCTCAAATGCTAGAGAAAGAGAACTTAAACTACCTTGGGTTGAGAGAAGGCCAATCCTTTTATTTTGGTGAAGTGCTTTGATGAACCACCTTCAACCACATATGATGCTAGAGTGAACGGAGCACCAACAAAACCCAGAACTGCAGCTTTGTTATCTACCTGGCAAAGGAAGGAAAAGGGATGAGTCTATGCAGCTTTTACATTCACGGACCCACAAGTAAAATTGAATAGGCTAGTGAATTATAGGTGTTTCTCCACAGTTCTCAAAGAATCAAACACCATCCTTATTTAATATGATAGTTCAAAACAATAGTAAAAGTTAGATAATTAATTATTTCTAAACATAGAGAGGAAATGCAAGGGATTAAGAAAGGCTTCGGGGATGATTACATTGAATTAAAAAATTAGGCATCATTGAAGCAAAAATACTACTGCAGAGAGGCCTAACAGTAACCTTTCTGTTTGGGAACATTAATGTTAGCCATCTTTAATTTTAGTTAACATTGTTGTTTAACTCCACTATTTGTTTGCTGTTCCTCCCTAAGAACATTCCAAATGCACAACTGATTGTATGCCGAATGTCCATATGGTACATGGCCAGACATGGATGTTTCACTTATGTAAGAATGAACTGAAAATAAGGGGAAAAATAAGAAATTCAAATTAAGATACAATAGGAAATGTAAATATAGACCTCTCTCCTCAAGATTGTCAATGCTTCACCAACATATGGTACTGAATCCTCAGGATTGAATTCTCTCACTTGATCAACATCAGCAGCAGTGGCTAGAGGATTAAAGATAACCGGACCTTTACCTTTCACAATGTCAAAAGGTATGTTCATCCCAGAGAGAGGAGTAAGAATGTCTGAGAATAAAATCACCTGTCATAATACACGATTGATTCAAAAAGATACTAACTTGCAATCTGCAAAGAGCAACAAGAATATGATAAGGAGAGAGAGGGGGGGGGGGGGGGGAGGGGGATTGGCTTTCTTGTCAAAAGAATGTAAAAGTCAACTGAAACTTCTCTATACCATAAATTTTCATTCAAGAAAAATTATTAGAAGGATTGCAAAAAAAATTTTCTTACCCCATCAGGCTTGAAAACATTCCACGGCTGCAGTGAAATCTCAACGACAAGATCAGCATTTTCCGATCTTTCACGAAAGGAAGGATACTTTTCACAGATAATTTGATAGCTCTACAAGATGAAACACTCAAAGTAAGACAATTGAAAAGGAGATGCGATATGAAACCAAACAGGAATGACCTATTCTCTTCTTTGAGATGCAAAAAGGAGAGATACAAATATTGAAATTACAAGAAAGAAACATGGGTTTCAAGTCAAAATGATCTACATGCATGTGAATAAGATGTGATGTAAAAGATAGCACCAGAGCATAAGATTAGCAAAAAGCCAGCAAAACTAGCATATAAATGGCAAGTGAAACAATACCACAAAAATATTGAAAAACATCTACTTTTCATTTCTTCTTACTCTCACAAAAGCATTAAAAGCAAGGGATTTAGGTAAGTTACTAAAACCTAGCAAGTTCTATATGGCTATTTTTTAGGAAATTTTCTTTCCACATCATCAAGTGATCTACTCTCTCTTTTCTTTTCTTTCCTTTTTTTTTTTTTCATTCTTTTTTACTCTTAATTATTAGAACTTGGAAGTTGGAGCCTCCTTTAAAAAGAACACCGTGTCTAGGAATTAAGCTATAACTTTGTCCACCATAAAATCCTCATTTTGAAATATCATATAGCCTACTGTGATCCTTCTCTTAGATTATTAAACAAAACAATTGATAAATCTTTTTTTTTTTCAAAAAGGGTTTGATAGCGGAAAAATTGAGCAGATGTCTAAAATTTATGATTGAGTTATGCAATCTCCAAAGCAAATGCATCACATGAAAAAAAAAATTCTTTTGGAACCACACAGATTTAAGAACCTGCCTTCATGTACCTCCCTGCTTGCCTCATAAGCCAAACTGGTGGTCTTTCAACGTCATGCCCTCGAACAGCATTGAGCAACAGGGGTTCAGCAGCAGCAGTAGCTTTTGGTTCTACTACAGTCCCTAAATGAGAATTTTACAGATAAAACTTATAAATCAGCGATTTTCAGAAAAACTTACATATGGTTCAACATAGCAGTCAGGCCTGATCAAAGACAGTAGTTGAGGAATAAGAGTAGCAGGGAATTAGCAGTATGCATGAATTTGTTCAAGGATATATGCAATGCTCACACCAAGGGGACGCTAATGTAAGGAAGCTATCAGAATATGTCACGCTGAAATTAGACCAAAAGAAGGAAATTTCAACCAGAACATTATTATTCACTTTTTCTCAATCAATTATCAAACATCAAACATGCCACCATAGCACAGAATTGTATTGATCATGATCATGATCATGATCATGCATTAGTAACGAGCATGCTACTCAATTTTTTTTTTTTATATTACCAGAAAAAATAAAAAATTAAGAATGATGACAGAAAATGAACAAAGAACGTAGAATGAATTCTTTCCCCTTTTTTTCCTCCATTTTCCCCAAGAGAAATTAAAAAAAAAAAAAAGTCCCAATGTCTTTCTATGCTATGGTTGTTCTCATTTGCAAGAGGCCATTGTCCTCTCATATTGTCATGGTCTCGTCATCATAGCTAATGGTGATTTCAACAAATTCCTAGTTCTACCCTTCAGCATTCCTACTCAAATTAACCATTCCCAATACTTCAGCTTAAACTTATACATTATTAACTAATCACCATGAAATCTAACAATGGCTTCTAAATCTCACACCTGATATTAGCCCATTGATAATTTCAAGCCACTTTTCCAGAAAGAAGCCCCTACATCAAATGAGCTTCATTCACTAAAAACATAGTTGCATCTCAATTAGATCCCATGAACCCATAACTAAAACAAATTAAATAACACAATTCAGCTTAGACAAAAAGGTTTACAGACTTAGGCCCCTAATTTTCTACAATTCCAAAAATTCTATACTTGGTCTCTTGCCACTAATAAAAAAAAACAGAAAAAAGTAATAAATAAAATCTTAACATTGGAAACCAAAACTGAAAATTAAAAAAAAAAAAAAAAGAGTACCTCCAAGAGAACAGTGGATGAATCTGGGCTTAGGATTGGACAAAGATGATCTTTTTGGAGGGACAAAAAGAGAAGTAAAAGAAGAAACTGAGCTACAAGACATTGTTTTTGGTTTCGATTAGAAGTGCCTGAAAAGTTTTAGTCGTTGGGTTTGTTTTCAAAGCAGGGTCTCAACTCTTAATTCATCTATGAAGTTTCTTCCATCCTGCTGGGTCTTTGACAGGGCTTAGATAAAACGAAGATAAGGAAAATAAAAATAGGTAATCTTTGGAGATGCCCCGAATGTTGTCTATTTTTGCCACCTCAGCTTTACTTTTGTCAAAGTACTTTACTTATTTTACTGTAGCCCAATGCCCAATGTCAAGCCCATTTCGTGTACTGGTTTACTTACTTTTCTTTTTTTTTTTCGCATTTTCCACTTTTAAATTTCAATCCCCAAATCTCTCAAAACTACTTGTGAATTCCGAGTTCTGTCCTTCGGTTTTCAGACAGCTTGCGAAGTTCAAGTCTTTTACTCAAAATCCGAGGATTTTTATAGTAAGTTTAATTTTTTTATTCTTACAATAAGGTCGATAAATAATAATTATTAAATTTATATAATTCAATCTTAATTATTAATTAAATTTTAAAATAAAAAAATGAAACTTATTTATCAAGTAATGTGATTGTAAAACAAAATTTATAAAATTTTATATATAATTTAAATAATATTCACTTTATGTAATAGTTTTTTATTTTTTATTTCATTGCATGTTTATTAAATTACTTAAAAATAAAAAATAATAATTAAAAATTTTAAAAATTTTTTTTAATGTAATTGATATCTTCGAAAATAGCTAAAAAATATTATAAAAAATACTTTTAAAGAAATTAAAAATATTAACATAAAATTCTTTCAAAGAAAAAAAATTAACTTAAAAGAATTTATATTTTAAATAAAATAAAAAATTATTAACATAATCAAATGAGAGAAATAATGAAATTTATATCAATTTATGTAAAATGAGATAAAAAAGTCATAACATGTTAAAAAATGAGTTATAAAAATTTTAAACATAATTGAATGTAAGAAAAGCTTTAGAAAAATTATTTTAATGAAATAATTAAGTTAACAACATAAAATTTAAATTAATTATTTTTCTTATAAATATATAAAAATACTTTCATGGATAAAAATTAACATAAACGAAATGATATTTAAAAACAATTAATTAAAAATTTATTAACATAAGCATGTTAGAAAAATTATAAAATTTGTATCATTTAGCATAAATATATTAGAAGTATCATAACATCTAAGAAAAAATTATAATAATTCTAAACTTAATGAAATAAAAAAACAAATGTAAAAAGATTTTATTATAATATAAATACTTAAGATAGCAACGTAAAATTTTAATTAATTATTATTCTTATAAATATATAAAAAAATCAAATAAATAAAAAAATATAGATAACATGGATAGCTGAAAAGAAACGTAACATTCATATTATTTGATGTAAAATGGGTAAAAAATTTTATAATACACTAAAAAAGAAATATGACAATTCTAAATATGTTAAAAATAAAAACAAACGTAAAATATATTATTGTAATGTAAATAATTATGATGGCAATGTGAAATTTTAATTAATCATTGTTTATATATATATAATAGCTATAAATTAAAAAAATAATTTGATAACATAAACAAATATAAAAAATATAAAATTAATGTCATTTAGTATAAAATAGGTAAAAAATATCGTAATGTACCAAGAAAAAGTTATGATAATTCTCAATATAATAGAAGATAAAAACAACTGTAAGAAAATATTATTATAACGTAAATAATTATGTTAACAACGTAAATTATTATTATTTTTAATATATAAAGAAAATAGCTAAAAATTGAAAAATAAATAGATAACATAAAATGAGTATATTTAGTATAAAATTAAAAAAATATATCGTAACATACTAAAAAAGAATTATTACAATTTTAACCATAATTAAAGGCCAGAACAATCATAAAAACAAATTATTGTAATGTAAATAATTAAGTTGTCAACATAAAATTTTAATTAATTATTTTTTAAAAATATAAGAAATAGCTCAAATTTAAAAATATTGATAATATAAATAAGTGAGAATAAATATAAAATTAATATTACTTAGCATAAAATAGGTATAAATTGTCGTAATACACTAAAAAGTGTTATAACATTTCTAAACATAATGGAAAGTAAAAAGAATAATAATAATATATTATTGTAGTGTAAATAATTATGTTGGCAATATAAAATTTTAATTAATTATTATTTTGTAAATATTTAAAGAAAAGTAGATAGAAATTAAAAAAATAAATTGATAAAGTAAATAAGTGAAAACAAACATAAAATTAGTGTTATTTGGCCTAAAATAGATAAGAAGTATGGTAATATATTAAGAAAAAATTATGACAATTTTAAAAGTAGTGAAAAAAATAAACAACCGTAAGAAAGTGTTATTGTAAAATAAATAATTATATTGACAACTTTAAATTTTAATTAATTATTTCTTGTAAATATATAAGAAAATAGCCAAAAATAAAAAAATTGATAATGTAAACAAGTGAAAAATGTAAAATTAGTATCATTTGATGTGAAATGGGTAAGAAATGTTGTAAAACATTATGAAAGAGCTATAATAATTTTAAATGTAATGAAAAATAAGAACAACAATAAAAATATATTATCATAATATAAATAATTATGATACCATTGTAAAATAATAATTAATTATTATTATTTTTATATATATAAGAAAATAGCTAAAATTAAAAAAAAATAGTAACATAAACAAGTGAGAAGAAATATAAAATTAGCATTATTTGATATAAAATGAATAAAAAGTGTTATAATACACCAAGAAAGAGTTATAATAATTTTAAACGTAATGAAAGGTAAAAACAATCGTAAAACAAAAAAAATTATTGCAATATAGATAATTATGTTGGCAATTTTGTAATTTTAACTAATTATTATTTGTTAAATATACAAGGAATGTAACTAAAAATTGAAAAATAAATAGGTAACGTAAACAAGTGAAAAGAAAGGTAAATCAATATAATTTGGTGTAAAATGAGTAAAAAAATGTCATAATATATAATGACAATTCTAAACATAATTAAAGGTAAGAACAATTATAAATAAGAAACTATTATAACGTAAATAATTAAGTTATCAATGTAAAATTTTAATTATTTTTTTTTGTAAATATATGAGGAAAATAGTTAAAAATTAAAAAACAAATTGGTAATATATACAAATGAGAAAAACATAAAATTAGTATAATTTGGCATAAATACGCTAAAAAAAGTTATAACAATTCTAACCATAATAAAAATTAAGAGCAACCATAATAATATATTATTGTAACATAAATAATTATATTCATAACATAAAATTCTAATTAATTATTATTTTATAAATATCTAAGAAAAATAGTTAAAAATTAACAATAATTTGGTAACATAAATATGTGAGAACAAACGAAAATTAGTATATTTAGCTTAAAATGAATAAAAAGTGTTGTAACATGTTAAGAACAAGTTACGACAATTATAAAAATAATGAAAAGTAAAAACTACCATTAAAACCTATTATTGTAAAGATAATAATTATATTAATAACGTAAATTTTTAATTATCTATTATTCTTTTAAACATAAAAGAAAAATAGCTAAAATTACAAAAATAAATTAATAACATAAACAGGTAACAATAACATAAAATTAATATAATTTAGAATAAAATGGGTTAGAAGTGTCAAAACACACTAAGAAAAAGCTACAATAATTCTAAATATGATGAAAAGTAAGAATAACAGTAAAACTATATTATTGTAATGTAAATAATTATTACAATAATGTAAAATTTTAATTAATTATTGTTATTGTATATATATATATATATAAGGAAAATAATTAGAAATTAAAAAATTTTGATAATGTAAACAAGTGAGAGAAAATGTAAAATTAGTATCATTTGACGTAAAATAAACAAAAAGTGTTGTAACACACTAAGAAAAAGTAATAATAATTCTAAACATAATAAATGATAAGAACAACCATAAAAAAGATATTGTTATAACATAAATATTTAAATAGATAACGTAAACTTTTGTTTGATAAAAATACATCAAAATTTGTAATCTAATAAAATGGTACAATGGTAACTTTCATTTTTATGATTTATGTTAATAAATTTCTAAGACTAAAAAGAAAATCATACAAATAAAATTGTAAAATATATAACATAAATAACTAAAAAATAATTTTAAGATTAAAAAGATAATGTAAAATAATTGATATTTTAAAACTAAAAAATAAAAATTACTAAAATGAATACTAAAATTTGTATTAATTATTGTTGTAATATTGTTATATGTTAATAATGAAGAAATAACAAAAATATTATTTATTATAATAATATATGACATAACTATAGTTGAATTTTTATTTTAATGTTATTATTTATAAGAATATATAAAAACAAGTATAAAATACATAATTTGTAATTTTTTATTTGCCAAATAAATAAAATAAATAAAATAATTTTTATATTTTTTATTGACCTATTAACTTGTTCCACCTTTTTTCATTGTTTTTCTATTTTTTATAATTTTTTATAATTTCTTATAAAAAATCATGATATCTCATAACCTTAAAATAAGTTCCGATTAATTGTTAGCTTAGCATACCAAAACCTTCCAGAAGATCTTTCGAACAAAAATGAAATGTAAGAAGTGGTCACAGCTTGAAGAACAAACCCTTTTGTCCGAATACTCTGATCTTCTCAATTTAGGAACTTAAACCAGAAAGAAAAAGTTCAAGCCCATAGCTGACCATGCTAACTCAGTTCATCATCTCCAAGATCCTGTTACTTTTCCTTTCATATGGTATTAACGTAATGTGTCTATTAAGGTTCAGAACATGAGGCACCAGTATTTGGAGGTGAAGCAGAAGATTAGGATTTCAAAGGAAGAGTTTAATTGGAAAGACGGTGAGAATCATTCGGAAAATTTTTTGAAGTATAAAGGGGTTCTTGGTGATGTGGAACTTGAAGTTAAAGGGAAGAAGGAAGTGAAAGTCATGGTAATGGGAGAGATTTGTTCAAGGATTGTTGTGACTTGGGTTTTGGAATTGATAATGAAGCTTTTGAGGAAGAGGAAGATGATGGGGATGACGGCGAGTTTGGAGGAGAGAAGGAATTCGGTGATATTGGTATTTCTCGTGTTCGAAAATC